GTCAACTGTAAACGTAGAGAAAATATGGAGACTCACATTCAATCAGCATCCTCTCCCGCAGCTGTTGCTCAAGTCGCCCTTGCTGATCCTCCAGGTCCAGCTCTTTGGCTCTATAAAATAGCGACCGAAAAAAGGAAAAGTTCAAGTCTATGACAAACCAAAATAAAAGGAAAACGTATACATGCAATCCATGCACATTCCACGTGTTGTATCCCCTTAAAGGAGAACTATGGGGGTAAGTGCTTTTCCCCATAGTTCTCCTAAGAGTCACGGGAGGACATAAACCAGCGTCCTCCCGTCACCCAAAGCTCCGTATATACTGAGTATACTGAGACCGCCGCAGCCGTGACGGATCCCGACATTACTGTCGAGATCCACCCAGCTGCGTGATTGACAGCTGGCTCTGCCTATCTAGCTGTACCCGCCCCCTCCCCGTCCGTTCCGCCAGTCAGCGCTTGAGGATCGGAGCGGGGAGGGGGGGAATCCCTGCAGGGAGCCGTGAGTGACAGTCACGGCTCTCTGCAGTGACAGGATCGAGAAACAGTATGAAAAAAAAAAGAAAACGAACGCAGCCATCGCATCTAGACTGGAAAGCTGCAATATATGACAAGTTTTTGTTTAGGGGTTTAGATATCCTTTGGAATCTGGTTTTCCTGTTAATAATAAATGACAGTGTTCCTGCTTTATTAATCTCGCTGTGACTGAGATTGGAAAACTGCTCTGTAACCTTGAAAATTAAACGAGAAAAGAAATACATGACATAAAGCCGCGGAATATGTATCTCCCCCCGCCACATCACAACACATTGCGCCGTCTCCGAGTCAAGAGCAAGGAAAACAATTGGCGCTGTTTGTACAGCGCGGCGTTCAGCTCTATGCTAATGAGAAGATTCGATGCAAGAGGTAAAGCTGCAATTTATTCCATAATGAGATCTACATGCAGCAGGAAGACAATAGAGACCTGTGCATATCTCCCAAATTAATCGCATCCACAATTTCCAGCCCCCACCCCCCTTCAAGGTTCCGAAGCGCATGCTGATATCGCCGTCGTCCCAACTTACACGCACAGTAGCTCTGACTCGTAACGATTCAATTTATTATTTTCTACGGCGAGCTGCATCCACTCTTGGAGGAGCTGAGTCTCGTCCTGGGCGCCGGCGTCTGTTAGAGAGATGAATCACAAAAATAAAACTTGTGGTAATGTTTCTGTGTGAAGAAAACAGCGTTACATTTATACCGCTAATAGAGAGCTTAGAATGCACATGTATGAAAATACATTTCCTGCCCTGCACCCGCCCGGGACCACCTGCTCATTACCTTATTATTATTTGGTCAGGAAGAACCATCCATCCTTTAATCTTCATCTTCCCTTTCTCCCTCCTTCCTTTCTTCCTCCCTCCCTTCCATTTATTTCCCTGACTCCCTTCTTTCCTTTCCTGCTTCCCTTCCTCCCTTTTTCCGTCTTCTCTTACTTCCTCCCTTCTTTCCATTTCTTTCCCTATATCTTCTTTCCTTACTTTCTTGCTCCCTTCCTTCAGCTTCTTTCCCCAACTCCCTTTTCTTGCCTCTTCTTTACTTTCTTCCCTCCCTCCTTTATTCTTCTCTTACTTCCTCTTTCCCTTCCTTTCTTCCTCCTTCTTTCCATTTATTTGCCCAACTCCCTTCCTTGCTCCTTCTTTATTTTCCTTCTTCCCTCCTTCCCTTCCTCTTCCCTCCTTCTTCTCTTACTTCCTCTCTCCCTTCCTTCCTTTTATTTTCTTCCCCAACTCCCTTTCTTGTCCCTTATTTCCTCCCTACCTTCTTCTCTTACTTTCTTTCTTCCTCCCTCCCTCCCCCCTTCCTTCTTCTCTTACTTCCTCTCTCCCTTCTTTCCATTTTCTTCCCCAACTCCCTTCTTTGCCCCTTATTTCCTCCCTACCTTCTTCTCTTACTTCCTTTCTTCCTCCTTTCCCTTCTTCCTCCCTCTCTTCCATTTATTTCCCTTACTCCCTTCCTTGTCCCTTCTTTCCTTTCCTTCCCTTTCTTTCTTTCTTTTCCTTCCCTCCCTCCCCTTGCACCGAAATCGGCGTTTGGTGAATGGCGGAGTATTAATCTGACAGTTTCTTCTATATGTCAGAGACTCTGCTGGTCAGTTCCCGGGTCTGTACACCTGCTGTGTCCATTATGAGGGGCCCCCACCACCCCTGTGCTGAGTTCCCGGGTCTGTACACCTGCTGTGCCCATTATGAGGGGCCCCCACCATTCCTGTGCTGAGTTCCTGGGTCTGTACACCTGCTGTGCCCATTATGAGGGGCTCCCACCATCCCTGCGCTGTGCCCCCAGCCTCATTTCCTGGCTGGAGGATACCATACCCAGCATCATTTAGCCATTTCCTCCCTGCCCCCGCCCCTTTCATTCACTGGATTCCAGTTCCTTCAATCGTAGAGGCTCAGCATCACTTGTGGGCGTTACCTAGGGCGGTCTGTATGCAAAATCCAACTTGTCGAGGAACGCCCCCTCCTCCACCCATCAAGGCATTTGGATATTTGCATAACTCCTCCCGAGAGCCAGCCCACTGCTTGCATCGGGGCTGAAGCAGGGTGCTGTGATGTTTTCTCAGGAAGCTATGTACAGCCCCCTGCTGGCCCCTCCTACCAGCCATAATCTGCCTGCATTACATAGAGAAGCGCAGACACCCGGTGATGATGGAATGAAATTGTAAATGTTTAATATAAAAAATTCATTATCACGTTGATGAGCGGGGGAGGGGAGGAACCGGGGAAGGCAAAATCTTTAATATCTCCATAGCTCGCAATTATATTGTAACAAATAATTATAATATACTGGAGCGTTGTACATGGGGATGCTGGGATTTGTAGCCCCCCCCCAGGTCTGGAGGCGATTCCCGGAGTCCCGCCCCTGATTCCGCTCCTTTCTCTCTCTTTAGGACTCCGTTGCGTCGCCTCTCACCCACGTCTGTTCTCCGGCTAATTCGCCTCGCTGTTTAATGGATAGCGCTGACAACAAAGGGCCCTTTCATTCCCGGGCCGGCGTAATTATTAGAGAGGCGCTTGGTAAATGTCAGAGAGGAGGGCCTGTGCTGTGCCTCTCGTATTCCCCATTGTCAGCCGCGATCATTTTCTAATTATCTTAACATTACCTACAGAGCAATCTGAAACGTATCAGAGGAGATGAGCCGCCTCTGATCTAATAAGCATCGGACAATGAATGAACCGCCAGCCGCACTGCACATGGCAGCGGGGGAGGCGAGGGTTAACCCTTGTGATGAGTGACACCGGGGGAATTAAAGGGGGATGTGTCTCTGTGTGACTGGGCTCTGATGGAAGCTGCCATTAGCCGAATTATGCGTTTCGATTTCAGGTTTAATTACAGTATTAATGTATATTTATGACACTTTTTATTCTGCTATGTGATCAGGACCCTTTAGGCTAAGGTAGGCAACCTCAGTACTCCAGCTCTTGTGGAACTACAAGTCCCATGAGGCATTGCAAGACTCTGACAGCCACAGGTATGACTCCTAGAGGCAGAGGCATGAAGAGATGTGTGGTGTCACCACAGCTGGAGAGCCAAGATTGCCTACCACTGATATCAAAATTCTAACCCAGGGGTAGGCAGCCTTGGCCCTCTGGCTGTTGTTGAACTACAAGTCCCATGAGGCATTGCAAGACTCCAACAGCCACAGGCATGACTGCCAGAGGCTGAGGCACCATTGGATTTGTATTATCATCACAGCTGGAGGGCCAAGGTTGCCTATTTAATAATATATTTAAAAATAAATGGAATAATAATAATATATTGTTACAAGCAATTAATATAAGCACCTGAATCTGTCCTGATATCATCCTGTACAGCAGAGCTTAGACTGGGGGAGCCGCCACAAGCAGCCAATCAGCTGTGCTGCATAGCTCCTGTTTCTGCTGATAGGAGGAGAGTGCAGAGTGACACAGAGATGAGCTCATCGGTCTGCTGTTTCTCCTTTCACTCTTCAGTCACAGGCCGTGGGAGGGATAAGACCTCTAAGACAGGGTTGCGCCGTGTGGCAGAGCTGTGCAAATCTCAGGGCTGGATGGGCAGTGATAAACTAACCTTTGGCAGGTATAACAGCTTTCCTGGAGCTTTGAGGAAGAACTCTGCTTAATATCATCTTCACAAGGGGCGCCCACAATTTTTTGTCTGGAGATCCACTTTGCAAATGACGAGCTCAATGAGATCTACCAACGAAAAAACACCTGCGTTCAGGGGCGTGGCTGTGCATTGAAGTCAATGGCACCGCAGCCACGCCGCCAGAACGCAGGCACATTAGTGCCTGCGTTCCGCTCCAGTGCGATCTGCAAAAACGCTGCAAGCACTTATGTGCCTGCATTCCGGGTGTGGGCGAACGCACTGCGGCTGGGGGGCGTGGCTGCGATGCCATTGACTTCAATGCACAGCCACGCCCCCTCCCACCCCTGAATGCAGGGAGCCGGCCGGCTTGCGTTCTAGAGGCCGAACACTCTGGAACGCAGACTTTGTGGTGTGAACCGGCCCTCTCTCCTGGCTGTCTCTCTGCTGTCTCTTCTCTCACTTTCTCTGCTCTCACTCTCCTGTCTGTCTGTACTTACCTCCGCTGCAGCAGCTTCCCGGGTCTCCACTGCAACGCATATATAAACGCACTGCAGCGCATATCGCCAGCACATACCAACGCGCGGCGTGAACAAGCCCCAACCCTTCAGCCCCGGCGGCAGAAGTCAGAGCTGCGGGCAGCAAGGGGTTAACTGCTTTGTTAGTAGACGTTGGACTTGTTTTTTGGGGAATAAAATGGCTCCACTGTCTGGCAGCGAGGACGCATTGCGCAATCACACGCTCGATCTGCGTCCATTTACCATTCAGAGGAGAGACAGAGCAGCCAAGAATCAAATATTGTTATAAAGATGATCTGAAGCTAATTTTTGATCAGATTTTCACATTTGTACACGCTTGTTTGGCAAAGTTTTCCTGACCGTATTTCATAAACCGATCTGAAGGTCCGCCCCCTAGTGGCTACATCTATGGCAGGTGGCGGCGGTATGGTAGCAGCATTTTTCCCTTGAAGTGGACCTGACATGAGATAAAGCTTCGTGTAAATGAATGTGGCAGGGTAACACTTCTTGGCTGTGTAACAAAAGTCTGACACAGATCAGCCCCTTCTGTAGCCTCTCACCTTGCGACTGGATACAAAGTTACAATGTTGCAGATTGATAACTGGGGGAGGGGGGACTGAGCAAATGCTGCCTCCTGTCTGAAGCAGAGTTGCCATAAACTTACACTGGGATGCAGTTGCCATAGACATACACTGGGATGGAGATGCCATAGACCTACACTGGGATGGAGATGCCATAGACTTACACTGAGATGGAGATGCCATAGACCTACACTGGGATGGAGATACCATAGACTTACACTGAGATGGAGTTGCCATAGACCTACACTGGGATGGAGATGCCATAGACCTGCACTGGGATGGAGATGCCATAGACCTGCACTGGGATGGAGTCGCCATAAACTTACACTGGGATGGAGTTGCCATAAACTTACACTGGGATGGAGATGCCATAGCCCTGCACTGGGATGGAGTTGCCATAGACTTACACTGGGGTGGATTTGCCATAGACCTACACTAGGATGGAGTTGCCATAGACCTACACTGGGATGGAGATGGCATAGACCTGCACTGGGATGGAGTTGCCATAAACTTACACTGGGATGGAGATGCCATAGACCTGCACTGGGATGGAGTTGCCATAGACTTACACTTGGATGGAGTTGCCATAGACTTACACTGGGATGGAGATATCATAGACTTACACTGGGATGGAGATGCCATAGACTTACACTGGGATGGAGTTGCCATAAACTTACACTGGGATGGAGATGTAATTGACCTACACTGGGGTGCAGTTTCCATAGACCTACACTGGGATGGAGATACCATAGACTTACACTGGGATGGAGATGTCATAGATTTACACTGGGATGGAGATGCCATAGACCTGCACTGGGATGGAGTCGCCATAAACTTACAATGGGATGGAGTTGCCATAAACTTACACTGGGATGGAGATGCCATAGCCCTGCACTGGGATGGAGTTGCCATAGACTTACACTGGGAGGGATTTGCCATAGACCTACACTAGGATGGAGTT